AAGACCTGGCCAAGTGAGAGAAGGTGGTCAGGCCAGCCCTCTGCCCAGGTCTGGGCGGCCAGGGTCTGGGCTGGCACAGTGTCCATTTTCTAACAGTCAGGCAGGGAGGAGGCAGGCAGGAGGCAAGGCCTAAACGAAAAGGTGGCAGGAAAGGCACAATTAGCTCTCCTGAGGGGACCTGATGGAGCACAGACCCAGGGTCTTCCACTTCGTCCTCACGGCTGGGGAGATGGGGAGGATGGTCTTGGCTTTCTCATCTGTACATGGGGCAAGTGGTCGTACCTAGCTCAAAGTCCTAGTACTGCTAAAAAAGTGAATGAATACGTGTGAACTTAGAACATCGCTTAGGAGTCCTCCAGCGTTTGCCTCTGCATTAGAACTGTCCCCAGGTAGCTGAGGTGTGGAGAGGCGCGGTGTCTTGCACAATGTCATGTAGCTCGTATTAAGTGACAGCTGAGATTGGAGACGAGCAGTGTCTGCCTTCTTCCTACTGGGCCACAGCTGGTCAAAGTCAGGAAGAGATTGGAGGCGGCAAGGAGTGCAGTGTGGGTGGGAGTAGGCCTGGCAGGGTCCCTCCAGGTGTGCAAGCCGCTGACCTGAGCAGCAGGTGTGAGACTGGTAACTGGGTCAGGCGAGCACTGCTGGGCTCCTCCCAAAGCAGTCATGGCCCCACCTGCCTCTCTGCCCATGCTGGGAGAGCCAGGGCCTGGTCTGAACCATAGGTGCAGGACAGGGGTCCTCGCTGACCTCTGGGGAATTCTGGGCTGGAGACGGTGGGTGTTGATAGGCGGGAGGCATTCAGGGTGGGGGACAGAGGGAGGCCCACGAGGACTGGCCCTCTGGTTGCCACCACACACACGGGTCACAACTGTGAGGCAAGCTGAGGACAACAGCAGGCATGGTGGGTGCCCTGGGGAGGGTGAGTCTGGACATGGACAGTGAAGAGCACTCACCGGGCCCCAGGGGACAGGGACATCTGCCCAGGTTAGGGGGCCTCCAGTGCCCCGGGCTGGAAGCGGGCTGTCTCCTGGAAGATGAGCTCCTTCAGCCGCTCCTTGGGCAGATCATCCAGCTCCATGTCGAAAGTGAAGGGCTCCTCTGCCACTGGCTGGGGTGGCAGAGCAGAGAGGCTCAGGCCAGGCCTAGGGGACACCGCCCCCTGCCTCCCTGCCAGCCCTGCTGCTGGTAGCTGTCCCACCTCATCCGTTGGGTCATAGTACTGCTCCAGGTAAGGGTGGGCCAGTGCTTCCTCCACGGTGATCCGTTTGTTGGGGTTAAAAGTTAACATCCGGTCCAGCAGGTCAAGTGCTGGGAAGGAAGAGCAAGGGCTAGGGGTCAGAGGAAAAGCTGGAGGAACTCCCCAGAGCATCGCTGCTTCCGGTGCCCAGGGACTGCCTGGCCAAGCAGCTGTTGGGATCAGACACCCTTCTCTGCCCCCAGTTTCTGTCCCAACCAGCCCCTTGGTCCCTCTTACCTTTGGAGTCCGACTTGGGAAACAGCTTAGCCCAGGCCACCTTGGTTTTGGAGGGCAGAGACTGTAGGTAGTTCCGGGCCTTCATATTGATGATACAGTTCAGGTCCTCCTGGGACGGAGAGCCCAGGATGCCTGTGGGTGAAGCAGGTGACTTGGTGAGAGCTTTCCTCTTTCTAGGAACAAAACAGGCAAGGTGACAAGTACAAGAGCCCCCAGCCGAGCAACCTCCCAGCGTCACCTCCCGGCTCATAGCCCTTGCTTTTCCTGTCCATCAAATGGGCCCAGTATCTACACCTCATTGAAAACTATGAGCTGCTGCAGGGGCTCCATGCGGGGTGGCATCCCTGACCTGGACCTTGAAGAAATCTTACCTCTGCCAAGCTAACGAGCTCCCTTCCCTCAGCTGGCCAGGCCCCTCTCACCCAGAATGTGGTTGAGCTGGTCCAGGTAGTGCTTGCCAGGGAAGATGGGCCGGTTGGAGAGCATCTCGGCCAGGATGCAGCCCACGGACCAGATGTCGATGGACTTGGTGTAGCCCTGGAGAGGAGGGGAAAGCGGTGGATCCCTGCCAGCCTCAGCACAGTCCTGATTCTAGGCCAAACGGCTTCCAGCCTAGGTCTGGGGGAGCCAGTGTCCAGAATCCAAGGCCCAGAGGGTAGGCTTCCTAAGTCACTTCATGGAGGGGGTCAGTGCCTGGTTTAGGGGAGTACCAGGGCTTCTTGGTACCTGCTTCCTTGCCTTCAGAGGTGGGGAGGTCTCCTACCTTAGAGTTCAGCATGATCTCGGGGGCCCGGTACCAGCGTGTAGCCACATACTCTGTCAGAAAGCCAGTGTGGTCGTGCTCGGGATCAGCGATCCGGGCCAGGCCAAAATCACAGATCTGGAGTTAAACCCAGAAAGCGAAGTTCAGTGTGCAGGGCTTCTGCAGCCCGGGCGGTTGCACCGCCATGGCCTATGCTGTTCCCCTCTTGGCGATGCTCTCCTGCCCAGGGCTCCCACTGGCCACTTCAGACTCCAGTGGAGTAGGGGACAGGTGCCCAACCCTCTGACCTTAAGGTCGCAGGTGGTATTGATGAGCAGGTTGGAGGGCTTTAGGTCCCGGTGGAGCACATTGGCAGAGTGGATATACTTGAGGCCACGCAGGATCTGGTAGAGGAAGTAGCAAATGTGGTCATTGCTCAGCTGCTGGCTTTTGAGCAACTTGTACAGATCTGTCTCCATCAGGTCCTGCACGATGTAGCTGAGGATGGCTCCAGACGCCCCCGGTGGGGGGCAGTGGGAGGCACTTGGTTAAGGAAACCAGGCTCTGGCAACCAGACTGCACATCCCCTTCAGCTGCGACCCCTAGAACTCAAAAGATCTGCCAACCCCATCACCAGGTGGGCACAGGCTGTTCTCAGCACAGGTCTTAGAGCCTCTGTCACATCTCAGCAGGCGACCCCGAGCATGGCGCTTCTGTTCTGTGCCCTCGGTTTCCCTACCTGAGAAATGGGGCAAATGATAAACTGGGAGAGGCAGGAGAAGGTCCCGGGTAAGAGCAGCAGCTCTGGAGTTAACCTCTGCTGCCTGAAATCCCTACTCCACAACTCGCCGAGTGTGATCTCAACCTGCCTGTCCTCAGTTTCTTCTGGAAAGTAGGGAAAATAGTTGCTCGTTAGTGGGTAAGAAGATGGGATGAGATGGCACTTGTAAAGCAAGGTGCTTGGCTCCTTGTAAGCACTCAACAAACATGAACGATTACTGTTCATAACAACGCGGGAGCCGCGTGGCTGTTGAGGGGGTTACAGGAGATGGTGTATGAACACCATCTGGTATGTAATAAATGTTTGCTGAAAAAGAAATGCCTGCCTTCTGGGAATGGTTTGTGCAAGAAAAACGAGACACTCCCAACAGCAGGTTCCTACTCAAACAAGAGGGCTTGGCTATATATCAGAAGATGGAGTAAAAGTCCTTTTACATTTGAAGATAAAACAAAGACTAAACATACATACTATACGCACAGAAATAAATAAATGCCATTTGGCTTGTCTCAGGAAGAATATCAGGACTGTCTTTTAGAATTAGCCTTAGAAGGGTCTTTGGAGAAACGCATGGGCCAAACCCACTGTTATACACGGGGAGGCCCAGGGAGATGCAGTGACTTGCTTCAGGTCACACAGCGCGGTGGGAGTGAGTGTGCAGATACCCTGCCCACAGCGTGGGGCACTGCAGTACAGATCTCTACTCTTGGGTGGAGGCCTGGGACTGGTGGGGTGGGGGTGGAGTAGAGGTGATGGGTGTTAAAAGCCGCTAACAGCAGAGCCAGGCAGGAAGTGGAAACGAACCAGGAAAGCCCTATCAGGGGAGGGCAACAAAGGCCAGGCTGTCCCTCCCCGGGCAAGGTGCAAGTCCACAGGTGATTAGGGTGGAGCTCTCTGAGCAGGAAGTGCCAGAGAAAGGACGCATTCCCACTCGGGGGAGGGGAGAAAGCAGCAAGAGAAACACTTGATTTGTAGGCTTCCTGGTACTCAGTTTCCTCATCTTTGAAATGGATCTGATGAGGCTCATCTCATAGGGCAGCTGAGACGTAGAATAAGAAATATCAAAGCACTTGGCATGCTTGGCACCTGACCCATAGTAGGCCCTCAAGAAAAGGCCGTTTTCTTCCCCCCTCTGGGGGACCCAGAAAGGAAAGAATCACTAGTCTGTTAAACAAGAACTGACTGTGGGCAGAGGCAGGATCACACCGCAGAACTGCAGATGTCAGAAGACAAAGCTCCCATAGAGACCGTCTTGCCCAGCAGAGGCCCGCCCCGGGCAGAGTGCAGAGAACTGACTTGCCCAAGGCCATACTGCTGGGCTGCAGCGGGCAGGCCCCAGTCCTCTTCCACCCCGTAGCCCTTCCTCTGATGGGAAGTTTCTTTTACTGGATTTGCTGCAGACAGTGGTAGGGAAGATGGAAACAGAAAGAAAGCCCACATTCCTCAGCCCAGTTCTGAGGCCATGGCAGGCCAGGCATCTGGCCAAGGCGAAGGATACACATCCCTCATGGCTTCCAGGGTGGGCGCCCGGAGAATGTCTCGGATGCCGATGACGTTCTCATGGCGGAAGCGCAGCAAGATCTGGATCTCCCGCAGCGTGCGCTGGCAGTAGGTCTGATGCTCAAAGGGGCTGATCTTCTTGATGGCCACGCGAGTCTTGCGCACTTGGTCATAAGCCGAACTGAGAGGGCCAGAGAGAGGTGGATGGTGTGGACTGACAAAGGGGGAGTCGGGGCCTGGGGGCCCCACCCAGGCCTTGGCAGGGAGGAGCGAGAGCAGGAGAGGGCTCTGGCCAAGTCATAAACAATGCTGGTTCCTTCCTGCTGTGAAGGCCTGGGATCTCCAGGGAGAGAGCTGGGGACCAGCCAGGCGGCTGGCCCTTCAATGACTTCACAAACAGAGGAAGAGACTGAGCGCTCACTGATTTCCCCTCTCCTCCACCCCCTGCCATTCTCGTTGACTGGCCCCTCCTCTCCTTCCCAAGATGGGCTCCCTCAACCCAAGGCAGGTCCAGCGGATGGGAGACCAGTGGAGGGTGTACGATGAGGCAAATACGGAGAGAGGAGGCCCGTCCTAGGAGGGACTAGACAGAAGGGAGAAGGCAGGGGCGGGTCTCAGGGAGAGGTACCCGCAGCAGCTGTTCCCAGGGGAACAAAGGCCCAGAGCACACAGTGGGGCCAAGAGAACTCATGGGGCACTCCCAACCGCTGCAGGGCGGCAGTGCCAGGCCCCCTCATTCCTCGCAGGCAGGCAAAGGCCCCAAGCCTTGCCCCCACCCCGGCTCTGCTCTTCTCGCCCAAACTCCCCACCAGCCTCCTCCCCAGGGGGGACCCAAAGCATCCTCCCACACCGAAAGGGTACTTCACTGCCCCTTCTCCAAGAATACTAATTCTGCCTCGTCCTCCCCTCAAGGGTGCCCATGCGTGCCCTCGGATGCCTCTCCCCCTATCAGAGTGGGGTCGGTTCAGCGCCTCCAAGCCCCCTCCCCTTAGAACAGGGCAGCGCCCCCTACCCCAGAAAGCACTCAGAGGCCCCCTCCCCGGGACGCCCCTCGAGCCTCCAGAGTCCCGGTCTTTCCCAGACG